GTGTGTGTGTGTGTGTGTGTGTGTGTGTGTGTGTGTGTGTGTGTGTGAGAGAGAGAGAGAGAGAGAGAGGGAGAGGGGGAGGGAGAGGGAGAGGGAGGGAGAGGGAGAGGGAGAGAGACAGAGAGACAGAGAGAGAAAGAGAAAGAGAAAGAAAGAGAAAGAGAAAGAGAAAGAGAAAGAGATCTCACCTAGACTTGAAGGTTGTTTCTCTCCCTACCAGAAAAAAACATATGAAACTTTTTTGTGAGTTAACAGAATGCAGGGTGGGGCACCACTGACCCTTTAATTGTTGAATTCAAGCATAATTTTAGTCATCACTTTATTTAACCTCACTCCTCTGAATTCACTACCAATCATCTCCTTAAAACTCTCTTCCCTTTATTCCACAGGATAATTCTCTCATTGATGACCTCCTGACTCTTTTATCTTTTCTTCTCATTTCAATCCTGGGCTCTTCCTCCACTAACCCCTTAAGGGTCAAGAGTGGGAAAGGCCAGTCCAAAGCTAAAGATCAAGGTCATAAAGAGAAACCGGCAACACTCCTGAGAAGCAGCACCTGTGTCCTGGAAGCCAGCTTGAAGACTGTGTCACGGTGTGCCCAATGCTGCTGATGTGTGACGTAAGATGAGGACTGAGAACTGACAACAGGATTTAGAGGCATGGAAGTCATCAGGGACCTGGACAAAAACAGTCTCAGTGGAGTAGCTTGAAGAAAGAACAATGGGAATGAAATTGGAAACAAGTGTAAACAACTCTTTCAAGAGGTTTTGCTACTAAGAGAAATAAAGAAATGAGGTAGTAGCAGAGGATGAAGTGGAATCAAGAGAGAATATTTTAAAGATGTAAAGCAAATAGCATTTTTTGTATGCTAATAGGAACCATCCAGAAAAGAGGAAAATGGATGATGCAGATCAGAGGAAAAAAATTTGCTAGAAAAATAATTTTTAGGTATGCAAGACGGATGGGCTCCAGCAAAGAAGTGGAAACAGGGCCTTAGTCAGAAGTAAGGTCAATCCATCAATAGTTACAGGTGTGAAGATAAAAAATATGCACCCAGAAGCACATAACTGGGTAGATGTAATGGTGGCAGCATATAGAAATTCTCTTCTGATTGTGTCTATCTTTTTCAGTCATGATCTGAGAAGGAAGACAGAAGATTTGGTATTAAAAGCTTACAAAGAAAGGAAAATGCATGATTAGTTACTTAGAAAAGGGGAATTATGGTACACTCGCCATGCAGCTCAACAGGTCCATGTGGATTTAGGGGTCATGAATTTAGAGTAGGCTAATAAGTACGGCTGGAGGTTTTCCTCCTAATCAAATATGAAAGAAAAGGTGCAAAAGATTTGAGAGTACACACGAGAAAGGAAGTATGATGACAGAATGTGGAAGTTAAACTGGAGAAAGGAGGAGGAAAATTAGGACAAGAGAAGAATGAACATAAGGAGCTGGCTCCTTACCATCAATGGATGCTACAGGTTCTGGTGAAGCCAAAAGGCTGCTTGAGTCAGGATGATAAAAAGAATATATAAAGGAACCTCTTTATTTATATTAGGCTGTTCCTTTGGCAGAGCATTTCTTTATTTTCATGTGTTAAAAGAGGGCAAAGGGGAAGACTGTCCTTTATATTCAGGTGGCAATAAATGTGCTAGGTTATAAAACAATGGGGATGAAGGAGTTAATAAGATGAATTAAACTTTATTAAGGTTCTGTTATGTGCCAGGCACTCGGCTGGGCATTTGGCACACATTATTTCATTTAATAGCTACATCATGCCTATGAGGGGATAAGGTAAATATAATCATAACCATTAAAGAACCTACGCTCAGGGTCATTACACTTGCACAGGTCACAGAGCTAGTAAGTGGCGGTCAAGACTCAAATATGTGCATGCCTAACTACAGTATTTAAGAGCTTTCCCACTTCAAAATGTTTTAATACATATAATGAAATATTTTCAAGTGAATATTCTTTCTTGCTACTATTTTTCTGGTCTTTGAGAATGAGGCAGTGGAGGGGTGAGGAAGGTAATAGGTACAGCAGGTACTACAAGCCCAATATTGAATTTCTGTATGACAGACATGCTCTGAGTTTTAACAGTTATCAACTTTATAAATCCTCAAATATTTTGCTGAAATATGGCTTTTTCCCTTCCCTGATTAATATACCTTATATTATATATTATTAGAGCACATTATATTAATAATTTAAGTATATGTTCTGCTGCTTTGTTTTTAAATTAAATTTGAGAGAAAGATAGAACCGTTCAAAATTTTTTTTATTTTTAATCACCTTGGTTATTTTGCCTTTGGAATTACTAAATATTTTTCAACATCTCAACAAAATAATACTCTTTTAAGACTGCAGGCATTAGAATGATTGTCATTCATGCAAATAATCACTTACTTACACTATATGAGTTTGGGTTAGATAAAGCAAATTACCATTTGAAAATAATTCAAATAACACTCTGGGCTAAGACCTTGCTTATGAATGTTATCTTGGCCACAATATTTTTTAACCTTCTTCCATTTAGCTAGATTTATTTATGGTAATACAGTCCAAATTAATAAACTATTCAATTGCCACAGGTGTATTAAACATAGGATGTTGTAGGACTATATCAGATGCAAGTGCATTTTAAAACATACTATTTATTTGGAATTCTATAGCAGTAATAATTAAGATGTGCTATAACTACCTATTCACTTACAGATGTGCATTTTGACAATATATTATTATATGAAAAACTTAAAAGCATGTCAAAAAATAAGGTTCAAAATATGATCTAAAGCAGCAGTCCCCAACTTTTTTGGCACTAGGGACCGGTTTCATGGAAGACAATTTTTCCACGAACCAGGGGATGGTTCAGGCAGTACTACGAGCAATGGGGAGCGATGGGGAGCGGCACATGAAGATTCGCCTGCTCGCCCGCCACTCACCTCCTGCTGTGCGGCCCGGTTCCTAACAGGCCCGGGGGTTGGGGACCCCTGATCTAAAGTATAAGCTGTGTTCTAGCTAATCACAGATCTAAAATATAACAATCATATTCTTCAGAAGTTGACATTCTCTCATCACACATATGAAAATTATATATTACAAATACATATTATATACATATTTACATATATATGAAAATCAACTGTGATCTTAGTTTCACTTAGCTTTATAGTTTTCAAAACTGTAAATAAATCATTAAATATTTTTGACAAATGACCTATACTGACAGGAAGATTAGATAGTTAACAGAAAATTTAATCAAAAGTCATAGAGTCTAAATTTTAATACAGTCTCTGACACTAATCAGCAGTGTGAGCACAAGCCAGTCTGCTTCTCCGGCCTTCTGTTTTCTGAACGCCATAAAGTAAGGATCAGGCAAGTTGTTCTAACTTAAATTTTATGACTCACTAGCCTGATTTGGTATTAGGCAGATTTTTCTTCAATGCAATATTAACTAGTCAGACACTTAAATCAGTATTAGGGGTGTGGAAGAGTGGGTGTCCCCACAGCAAAATCTGGGTGAACTCAGTTAGTCCAGAACCTAGAGACTAATGCTGACCTCCTGCATAGCATATGTGGATATTAAATTGTCTCCTGCCTTCATTTCAAGGATGGGGAAGAAACAGCTGTCCCTGAACTCTTTTTAAGGACACAGTCAGTTACAAAACAGCAGCATCCCCAGCTAGTATGATTCCCATTGAAGTAAACTTTCTATTCACAAGGGGAAAATATTCCTGGTGGTAGTAAAAACAATTTTGCTAGGTTTAATCAAAAGTGAAAAGGAATTCTAGAATGTTCCCTTTGAGCCACATCATCCATTGCTAATTCAGGGTGGGCCCAGCAATAAGGGTAATAAAAAATATCCTTAGTGACTGAGAAAAAGAAATGGCAATTAAGTGCATTTGCAACCCAATATAGAAGACCTAACTCTTTACTAAGATAATATAAATAATAAAAACTGGGAGAAGGGGGAAAAAAAACCCAGAAAAAACAGCATGGGAAATGAAAGTAATCTAAGCAGTAAAATTTAACACTGATTTACTTAGAAGTTACTATTATACATATAAACCAATAGGCATAAGCTGAATACAAAGGTTGAGACCTATGCTTGACAATGACTTCTGTAGCAAAACAACAAATAAATAAAACAGTAAGTGTTAAAAGCCAAAGCACCTTGCTTTGGCAAACAAATAAATAAGAGAAAAGAAAGGAAAAACTCAGTATCAGAATTAACCATTCAGTGACAGGTTGGACACATGATTATTTAAAATCTTTGTAAATCACAGCATGGCGAAATAGAACTTGATTCTCTAACTAATCATGCTTACGCTGAAAAGTCAAAATTGGCAAGAACATCACCGATTTTTACACATTTGGGAAATAATTTATGACACAATATTGAAAATGGAGTTAAACATACTGACCTGCTCACATCAGGAAACCTGATGGGAAAGTAAATAACTTGGCACTTGGGTCTGATGACGCTTTCCAGATCTTTGGGTCTGTGATCAGGAATCAGCTTCATGAATTTTCCAATAGAAGTAAGAAATGACTCCATATTAAAAACCGAGTTGAATACCACCACATCAGCCACCAGGCTGCAAAGGGAAAGGATAAATGCATATGGTGAGCCCACACTTGTTCAGTTATTTTTATAAGCCTAAGACTTCTTTATTAATCAGAGTTTATACTGCACCTTGGGTTTGCAAAGAACTCTGCACTTCCTACCAGTATTTATCAAAATGACTCTAATAGATAAGTTAGTTTCATTAGCATTATATCAAGGGAAGGTAGATTATTGGCATCAGAGAGGAAAGGCAGGAGAGGAATTAAGTGATTTAATGGGATCCTATGACACTTCAAACCAAAGTATTGGGTTGGCCAAAAAAGTCCGTTTGGTGTTTTCCATAAGATGGCTCCAGTAGCACTTTAGTTGTCTTCAACTTCATTCGAAATAATTTTGTTAGATTGCATTGTGACAGCTGTCATATCAGCGTGCCTTAAAAAAAAAAAAATCAAAATTGGTGAATTTCTGTGTAGCCATGTTAATACTGAAGATGGGAGAAAAAAGCAACATTTTCAGCATATTATGCTTTATTATTTCAAGAAAGGTAAAAACTCAACTGAAACGCAAAAAAAAAAGGTTTGTGTGGTGTATGGAGAAGGTGCTGTGACTGACTGAACATGTCAAAAGGGGTCTGCAAAATTTTGTGCTGCAGATTTCTCACTGGACGATGCTCCATGGTCCAGTAGACCAGTTGAAGTTGACAGCGATCAAATCGAGACATTAATTAAGAACAATCAATATTACACCATGCAGGAGATAGCTGACATAATCAAAATATCCAAATCAAGCGCTGAAAATCATTTGCACCAGCTTGGTTACGTGAATCGGTTTGGTGTTTAGGTTCCACGTAAGTTAAGAGGAAAAAAACCTTCTTGACCGTACTTCTGCGTGCGATTCTCTACTTACATGTAATGAAAACGTTCCGTTTTTAAAACAAATTGTGATGGGTGATGAAAAGTAGATACTGTACAATAATGTGGAACAGAAGAGATGGTGGGGCAAGCGAAATGAACCACCACCAACCACACCAAAAGCCAGTCTTCATCCAGAGAAGGTGATGTTGTGTATTTGGTGGGATTGGAAGGCAGTCCTCTATTGTGAGCTTTTTCTGGAAAACCAAACGATTAATTCCAACAAGTACTGCTCCCAATTAGACCAACTGAAAGCAGCACTCGATGAAAAGCGTCCAGAATTAGTCAACAGAAAACGCATAATCTTCCATCAGGATAACACAAGACCGAGTTTCTTTGATGACCAGGCAAAAACTGTTACAGCTTGACTGGGATCAAGCTGATTCATCGCCGAATTCACCAGACATTGCACCTTCAGATTTCCATTTATTTCGGTCTTTACAAAATTCTCTTAATGGAAAAAATTTCAATTCCCTGGAAGACTGTAAAAGGCACCTGCAACAGTTCTATGCTCAAAAAGATAAAAAGCTTTGGGAAGATGGAATTATGAAGCTGCCTGAAAGACGGCAGAAGGTAGTGGAACAAAACAGTGAATACGTTGTTCAATAAAGTTCTTGGTGAAAATGAAAAATATGTCTTTCATTTTTACTTTAAGAACCGAAGGAACCTTTTGGCCAACCCAGTGTACTTTTCCGCAATGCCAGGAATTTTCAATATTATCACCAAGTACAGGAGGACCTTTTTCTTTGTGGCCCAACTACCCATGTTGGGTTTCTACGTCAGTGATGTACTTCGTTTTACACCACAGTACTGAGAACAGAACACTTGCCATACTTTTCACTGCCTTCAAGGAGATTAATCCAGATAAAGCTATTTCATACTAAGAGCATACCTTCATAACATGTAGTTAAAGTCTATTTCTCATTTTAACCCTTGCTTCAAGAAACTGTTAGGTTTTTTAAAGTTCTGAGACTACACAGGAAGGATTATATAGAAACTCTACAAATAACTTATTTTTTTATTATATAGATTTGGAGTAGTCAGAGAAATAGAAGAAGTTGGTGAAAATGGATCCAGAAATCCGTACCACTAGGTCCTACTGATTACATAATGTATTATAAAGGACCACAACACCATGGACCTTCAGAATTAAACGAAAGAAATATAATATTCGCTGTTGCTTTTGATGCAAAGGCTTGATCCTCTCCTTAGTATTTCTTTATTAAAAATAATCTAAAATACATAGTTAGAAGGAAATGTAAAAACAAAGTTTATGTGTCATTAATATGTCAATAGTTTCCAAATTTGCCTATAACATTTTCTTGGAAACCAATGAACACAAATGATAACCATGGGTGAGCTGGATAAACAGGAATATGTACTATGTTCCCTTTATGAATCAAAAAACCATTTTAATAAATCATTGTTTTGTTTTTTAAAATAACCCTCTTTGCTTTAAGCCATGATTCAGTGTCTCAGTGTCACTGGATCTCAATAAAATGCATACAAATGCTTTGATAAGAAGGTATACAAGATCAAATAGAAAAAGCAGTTAGTTTTATTTCACCCTGTAAAGGACATCAAGGAAACTGAAAAGAAGACATGCAAGCCCACAAGACTGTAAAACACAAATGAATAAACAGAGCTTATAGAGCAGGAATACCACAGCAAGTCCTCAGTTTAGTTTAATTCACATTTACTGAGACAGTCAAAGTTTCTATTATCAATACATAGCGGAATGAAAAACTAACGAAAGGAATGTTGACCTGCCACCCCTATCTGCCCCCACTCCTGCAAACTTGTTTTCCCATACAAGTATTTTTTGTTTTTTTAGTTGCAACTTAGTGCAAACTTGGGATTAGCAGTGATTACAACATGGATAATACAAGAGAGTGTCACAGAAGTGCTGACACAATATCAAGCAATAAGGAAGCCAATATAATAATATTCCAAAAGTTGAAGGATGTTTTACAGCTAGTCTGTTTTCACCATATGTCACATATTGTAATAGTGACCCACAGGTCATAATACATAGTTATGGCATGTGTTCATCAGTCAGAGGGTTAGTGAAACCTCTATTTAAGGTGAGTGCTTATGTCGGTCATCTCTGAAGTCCTTAACTGTCACACAGTCAAGAAAGAAACCTGACAGTGCCAACAAAAGCAGAAGTCAGCAAGAAAACTAAAGAAACATTTTAAGAAGCTGGAGTCATACTTTTCAAACTGAATCTGAACAGGACTGCTTTCTGACACTTTTATTTTTCCTCTGGACGACTGCAAGCCAGTTTTTTTCTCCTTAAGAATCCCACCAATGATCAAGCCCACTTCTTTCTCTCCAAGCTCATCTATCAGTTTACGCTCTTGAGAAGAGCAATGCTGAAAAATTATATATAAGCTTTTATAGTCTCATTCCCTCTGAGCAAAGCAATCTTTTCTGAAACAGAGAGATGAGGGGTAGTAAGCTAAAAATTTTTTTAGCCATCTGCCCTCAAACGGCATTCAACCCAACTACTTATATTCTTAAAAACCCAGTTTATGCCAAATTAAAGTTCCAAGATAGTTTACAGAAATATTCTTTTTCATGCATTTCCTCTCTGATATGAGTGGGTGTAACTTCCATTAACTTTAAAGCCACCCATAAAGGGAAAAATAGACTTAATTTTTTTCCCCAGTTATTTCTCACGGGTAATAAACACACACTATCTGAGGAAAAGAATGAGGCTAATTCAAGAAACCAAAAGAATATTACAAATGTTTTCCATATTAATAAAGCACAAAATGATTTTGTTTTTGTTTTTGAAACATATTTTCCCCTCTGTTTCAATATAAAATATTTTAATTTTATTATGAAATTTTAAACCGGTTGCTTTTTTTATGAGACATTTGATGTGAAGCAGCTCCGCTCTATTTTGATAGCGCTGCTACTTCATTTGAAGCAGCTTGTAAAAATGATTGCAGGAAAACATTTACAAAATGCTCAAAACACAGAAGTATTACCATCTAGCTGTTTTTCTATGTCAGTGAAACTATGGAATATACTTGCAAAAGAGCTGGGAGTCTGCTTAAACACATCATCAATCCCAGTTGCTAATAACTATTAAAAAAGGTGAGTAAACTGAACCCAATCACTGCCAAACTGACTCCCTTTGAGTGTTGCAGTTATGTGGATGGGATCCAATAGCAAAGCTGTTTCAGAGCTGTTATTAACTTCTTTCATTAACTAAGCTTCAGGAGATACACTTTGTTGAAGTAACAGTAGAGAAGGACCATCACCTTTGAAATGTCATGGTATTTTAAGGCTATGCAGTTTCAGAAGACTCAAGAGGGGAAAAAAAACCTCCTAAAGATTCATTTTCCATAGTTTTCTCTTACAAACAATAAGGAAAAAAAGGACAAAAACCCCTTGCTCCATTATGCTTTAATTTTTGTTTATTCCTCTGTAAATTTCTATTTTGATTTCAGCTGGATACATGGAAAGTAGCTGGTAAATAAAAGTTGACTAACTGTCTTTTTCTAAAAGTATGTCTCACACAGTAGATGATGGAATCAGGGGCTGAAGAAGGTCCCTGTCACCCCTTTGATTCTATTTTGAATGTTGTAGAAAATACAGTTAGATAATTAGTTCAACATTTAGATTGTAACACATATGTATTTTATAAAAGGATTAGCTGTTCTCTTATATGTACATATTGCAGAGGCACAAGTAATTCCTACCATGGAAGGTATGTTTAAACATTTGCTCCTAATTTAAGGTATTTTTAAAATAAGTGTACAGGAGGTCTCCAGATTTAAAAGCTAACTATGAGGAAAAAGATGGGAAACGACTAAATATGATGATACAATCTATACCTACCATGAGAGAATTTGGTTGTATCCATATTGGAAATCCCTCTCCTGACATTTCTTGACAGGATATACCAATTGGTTCTCATGGAAGTACAGAATCTTTTTCAATTTCCCAAGGTCAGGCCGAAGGGCAGCCAGTTCAGTCAGGTTAAGCACTGAGCTTGCGAAGAGAATCCTAGGAAACAAGGAAATTAGGGTTACCACCCCGAGCATACTTGAAGTGGGCATCCTGTGCCTTCTCTCCTCTTTCCTCATCCTACCCCAAGGAAAACATATCCCCCATAGGGACACATCAAGAGTTAAGCCTTAATACCATGTAGCAGCATTCTAAGTTTTGATCTCTTAAAAAGCAGCTGCTAAGAACTATAAAAGCCCTGAATCTCATTGGTCTTCTCAGCTCAGTTACTGAGAGATGCAAAAAAAAAAAAAAAAAAGCTGGATGGATTTTATTGAAAAAAGCCTAGAAAAGCTCCATCTGAAGGACAAATGGAACAAAGATAAGGCTGACTGGGGAATACTTTGCTTGCCAGTTTCATTACACTTTACTTCTGTATGCAACCAACTACTGAAATTCAATATATGAGCAGGAATGGCACGTGTTCGTGTTATGACATAAACCCTTTTGATTTATGCAATAGACTTATCTAGTGAGGGCTTTTTCTCTTGGCATGTTTTCTTATGCCCCCCTTTTAAATATTCTGCAATATTTGTAGGGTTTTTTCTTTTATATTTTCTTCTCGATTACTGGACTGCTAATGGCACCATATGTACACTCTGTAATATCCCTTATATAAAACATAAATGATAAAAATGAAGAAAGCCTGGTTCCTTGACTTTGGGGGATAAAAAGGAAACTGAAAGTCTACCTATCCATGGTTATAAATGAAATAGTGTCTATTTACTCACTCATTCCACAAACATTTATCATAAATGCCTACTAGGTACCAGGGTCAAGCGAGGAAGAACAGAAAAGATGAACAAGACAGCCTGCAGAATGAATGCTGCCAATAACAGTGGCATGAACAAAGTACTAGAGGAACAGACAGACAACTGTCTGGGACAACCCGGAAATATTTCACTAATGAGGTGGCTAACACGTGTGGACACAAAAGAGGGACAAATTACATTCCCTGAGCAGCTGAGGACATTTAGATGGCACAATTTTGATGGAATGCCACCTTTATAACATAATATAGCATCATTTGACCCTTACAGCTTTAATTCTCATTCTAAAAAATGAGGTCCAAGAAGGTTAAGGGTTTTTTCTAGAATCACACTGGTAGTAGTGGCAAAGCAGAGATTCCCAGTCTTCTAAGCCCGAAGTACTATTCATTACACCACAGATATGAATTCGTTGTGGACCACTTACATTGCAAACGCTTTTTACTGTACTTAATAAATACAAAATAGCATCCTTGTTATTACCATGATTACAACTACTATAAATTCTCCCTTGCTGACAAGCCAAATGGCTAACTTCAGGTGTTTATATGATCTGCAGCACTAGTCTTCACATAAGAAGAATGATTACATAATAAGTGCATACATCATAAAGAGGAATTCAAGTGTCTTCTTCATGGGCTACAAAAGGCACATAAGACCAAAAAGCAGCCACCTCTCTAAACTCACATTGCTGTATTAATGTTATGGTTTATTGTTTTAAAGTAAAAAATCTTATCAAGGAGATGCATTTTTTAAAATTGTCTATTTGTACTCAACTAAAGCAAATAGAAAATTCATGTTCAGAAAATGTCCTCTATTTTTTCCAAAAATATTCCCACCACCACCAAGTATTAGCTTTTCTAAATTTTAGATTGAAAATTCTGAAATATGAAAATATTTGCTTATCTACAAATCTGATCTTTAGTAGAGAGAACAATAAAATTTAAACTCAGTCAATCTATATTTCCCTTAAAATAAAACGGATGGCAACTTGTGGATCAAGTTGAGTAATACACCCCCCTCTATTCCCACTCCCCAGTCCCAACATAACAAACTACTCCAAACAATGACTCATTGTTAATCATTAAGACCTGAGCAAACTCAATGTTTTTCACACACAAGGAAGAAAAACTCATTAACTGCAGCTTCCATCTATTCATTAATTATAAAAAATCGTACCCTTATAATGAAGAAATTTGGTAGACATCAACTTACCCAAGTGACCAAACTTAATATGAACAATAATGGGCCAAAGGGATATCATGTATTTCCCAATGTGATACACTGAGAAAGACAGAGATCACCAATTCCTGACAAAAATGCTTGATCTGAATTTGGTCATGAGGAAATAGCCAGACAAATATTCTGCAAAATAAATGGGCTGGATCTCCAAAAAATGTCAAGGTCATAAAAGGAAAAAAATCTAGAGTAAAGGGAAATAAAAAGACCCCAAACAAAATGCAATGTGTGATACTTGATGGGATACTGAATGGGGAAAAAAATAAAAAACAGCTGTAGAAGATATAAGAACAACAGGGAAACTCTGAATATAAAATTGTAAAGTTTTATCAATCTTAAATTGAAGTGTATTGATTTTACTGCAATTATGTAGGAGAATATCCTCATTCTTAGGAGACATGTGTTGAATTATTAACATGTGAAGCATAATGATGTCTGCAACTAAGTCTTAAATAGTTCGGTCCAAAGGCCACTAAAAACAAATATTCAAATATTCATAGATAGAAATAAATGTGCAAAATGTTAACATTTGGTTAATCTAAATAAATGATATATTGTAACTCACTGATCTAGCCTTGCAAATTTTTAAGTTATACGTTTATAAAACTACAAATTTGGGAGGATATTCATTAAATGGCAGTAAGTAGAAGGGAAAAATATGCCACATTCCATAAACAGTAAACCCATCATATATGTATTTCTAGTCAGACTCCAATTGTTCATTTCCTCCAAGAGAACTATCCTCAGGGTGGAACATCTGTAGCAAATGTTTAACTAAAGCAAGCCCTTCACTCTCCTCCTACCATATACCGCCTCTCCTTACCCTACCTACCAGCTGATCCACAATCAAGGAATCCAAATCTAAAATTGAGACTTCCAAATAAAAGCTCTCAAACAAGAGAATGCAATACATTCAGAAGTAAAATGGCAATGATTTTCATAATATTACCCATTTGGGACTGCCCACACCAACACTTCCTTCAGTTTGTTCAGTCATTAACAGGAAACTCATTTTATTTTTGTAACTAATCTTGAAATAGCGCTCACTACTTCTAAATTGTGGGAATTATCTCCAACATTAGTAAAGCATTTCTCTTTGCTTTTTTGCTTGTAAAATGGAAGTTAAATTAGACAATAAGCAACTCCTCAAATATTCAGCTCAATGACACCTAAAAAGAAGAGATGAAGATGCCCACAAAAGAAATGCAGGTAAGATTCATAGGCAATTTTTTCTTTGCCGTCCTCCATCAATTAAAAAAAAAGTGTATAATACAATGAATGACATCACTCAATCAGCAGCTAATCCCTAGGCTCCCAATGTTCATCTTGCCTCAGGTATTATTTAAGCAATAAATCCTAACAAGGTGAGCTTTACCATCCCACACTGTGTCTCTGGCAGGAAAGGGCACAAGGTGAAAGCAAAAACCACTAGGAACAAGATAATTCCTGACAGCTGCTGCTTGAGCACAAGTTAAATTGAACAGTTTATCTCAGCATGAAGATGTTATAAGGTTTTATGTTTAATATTTTTAAATTAACATAAAACCCAGAGAAAGCAGTTGGGCAATCTTTCACAAACATGACATACTACAATCACTGTATAAGCTGGATTAGTACTTATTACCATGCTACTACAGAATTAAGCTGTTTTTAGACCACCAAAGAGCTTTAAATTGCAACTTTTGTCTCTGTAAGAGAAACCTATATTTAAAATGTCTGCTAAATTCAAATTAATGGCTACATCACTAGCTTACCATCTCACCAAAAGCATAAGTAAGCTGCTATTATAATCGTCTAACCAAAACAGCTCTGTGCTGTAAAAGTACGTGAATGCCGTTCTAGGTATTTGGGACTGTATGCATATACATGCTTCAAGTATTTTCAATGCACATGATACCTACAATCTGAGTCATATTTGCTTAAGGAATCCAAAATCATTCAACACAATGAAATTCTAGATTTTATTTTTCTTTGATTCAGTTTGAATACACTAGTTGTTTGCCTTTTATCCTATTTTCTTAATATGTCAAACGAGATGTTAAAATATACATAAGCACAGTAGGAGTGTGACTACTATTATCAAGATGCATACCTTTATACCTTAAATGGCATGAAGGGTCAGTGAAATGAGAAACAGAGGACAGGCATTCAATATTCCAACCACCACCATATACAATCTAGGAGAAAATCCTTCATGGACTAATTATCTCACTCTTGACCCATGAAGTTTTTTCAATAGCCCCTCACCTTCCGAAACCATGTATCACATAATGGGATACAGAACACAATTTAACACAGATACCAATTTGGGTTGTTATTTATACTTAAATAATTCCCTGCAGGACTTTCAACAAGCCTTTGACAGAAGAGTGAATGCCATCTTCCAGCTGTGTCACCTTGCTCAATACTTAAATTCCTTGTCTAGATACACGTTGCCCAGCCTCACCCCCTAAGTCTTTCTTCATTCTTTTGTTGCCTATCTTGAGTTCCTGTTCCTTGATATCTACTCCCAGAATTCTAGATCCTGTACTTTCTGTGATACAATATTTTCTGCAATGAAGGAAATATTCTATATCTGTACTGTCCAATACAGCAGCAACTAGCTACTTATGGCTATCAAGCACTTGTAGTATAGTTAGTGTAACTGAGGAACTAAATTTTAAATTCAATTTGATTTAAGTTTAAATTAAATAGCCATAAATTAATGGGAAAGCACAACTCTGGATGGACCAGCTTCCCTTAACCCAACACTCCACCCATCCTACCTGAATGCAATTCCTCACTGAATTGATTTTCTTGTATAGACCCTTGATCTACTTGTGATAATCTAATTTCTAAGTTCCTCCTGATTTGCTGAATTTCACCTACCAGGGTCTCCAATTCTAGAATGCCAGAATGCCATTTTTTTCCTTCTGATAATTAGAAAACACATGTTCATTTCAGAAAATGTTTTAAGTACAAAAATTATAAATTAATTATCATGCACAACCACCC